AAAAAAAAGAAATCCTTAAATCAAAATCAACAAATGTTAGAAAGGTCAACGTTGTCAGAATTATGAGGGCCAAAGATGTGGATCACTTACTGTTGATGTCTTTGGGTGAATTCTGTTTACATCAAAAACAAACTAAAATTCCTATTTCTATGTATTCAAGGCATATCACTGAGTAACGGTTACCTGTGGAAGAAACAAAGGAAGTTCACCAACATTCACCTGCGCTACTTTGGAGAAGGACAGAGGTCAATGGAAAAGTCCATTCAAGTGGAATGTAATTGTCTTTGTGAGGCGTTTAAAGAAGAACAAGGCAAGTAGTAAAATGGAAAACAAATTTAAGCTTTTATGAGAAGCTGAAAAGAGCTCAACTGAAGTTGTTTTTCCAGGAAGACCTTTCCAACCACATTCTACTATAACCAGTGCTGTGTCCAACATCATCGCCTCGGTGGTCTTCGGACATCGGTTTGAGTACAGCGATGAAATCTATCGTAAAGTTTTGGAGTTGGACAGTCAAGCCGTGTTTCTCGCTGGCTCGGCTCGGGCTCAGGTAATTAACGGCTAATTCATCATCACGGTACCTCAAAAAACTGTACTACCGTGTACTTTTTTCCCCTGTCACCCACAGCTGTACGATGCCTTCCCTGGCCTGCTAAAGTACTTCCCCGGGCCTCACCAGACGGTTCTCTCCAACTACAGAGAGATCAAAAATTTCCTGAGGAAACAGATAGAGAAGCACCAGGAGGATTTGAACCCAGAGGAACCTCGAGATTACATTGATGTTTATCTGACAGAGATTGAGAAGGTCGGACTTTTGAGACAAGCCAAATGCTTAATGTGGTACATTTGCGACTCTGGAGTGGGATGAACTGAATCGATTTATTGATGTTCTCAGAATAAAGGGGATCCTGCGGCTGGCTTTAACATCGAAACCCTGTTGATCTGCACCCTTGATATGGTCGAAGCTGGGACAGAAACAACTGCCACCACTTTACGCTGGGCTCTTCTCTACATGATGCACTACCCAGAGATACAGAGTCAGTCCAGTACATGTGT